AATACCATCATTGAGACTTGTCATCCAAGAGGGACTTACTGAAGAAGAAAATGCTTGTCTGCGCCTTGAAGAATTAGAATCTCTTTATGAGAAAAGGTTGGAAGCTCAATAAAGTCTTGAGTGCTATCAAGCTCGTCTTTCTCGTGCTTTCAATAAAAAGGTTCGCCTAAGGTCTTTCCAAGTCGGTGATCAAGTCCTTGCGGTAAGAAGACCAATTATCATATCTCATAAATCGAAAAGCAAGTTCACATCAAAATGGGATGGACCATATGTCATTCAAGAAGTCTATTCAAGCGGAGCTTACAAAATTGTGGATGCAGACGGCTTGCGGATTGGTCCCATCAATGGAAAATTCTTGAGAAGTACTATCCATGAAGCAGCGTCATACTCCTAGCCCGCAAGAGTATAAACTGTGTACGGCTCCCAAAAAAAAATGTCCGCTAGGTTGAAAATCTCGAAAGAGGCGGCCTAGGCAAAAGTTAGGACACAAAAAAAAATAGTAATAATAATAAATCACACTCTGAACTACGTAATGACTTGATCCTCTTCATTGAGGTACGTAGGCAGCTTAGAGTATTATTACTCTAGGTTCAGTCATAAGAATAAAAAAAAAAATGTCGCCATGTGAATATCATGCTAATTCTTTCAAATGAAAATTCAAGCACCCAGATTTTGAAGACAAATCTGTATTAATCCGTAAATCCAATAGACGTGGTTTTTATATGGATTCAAGATCTCGAAGTCATATTTCCAACAAAAAAAAAAGCTCATTATTCTGGCGCTCCTACTCCACATTATGAATTTTCTTCCACATGTGCGCAAAGCTGAAAAAAACTGAAAATTCAAGCACCCAGATTTTGAGCTGACTTTGAAGAAAAATCTATATTAATCCGTAAATCCAATAGACGTGATTTTTATATGGATTCAAGATGTCGAAGTCGTCTTTCCAACAAAAAAAAGCTCATTATTCCGGCGCTCCTACTCCACGTTATGAATTTTCTTCCACATGTGCGCAAAGCTGAAGAAAACTGAAAATTCAAGCACCCAGATTTTGAGCTGACTTGAAGAAAAATCTGTATTAATCCGTAAATCCTATAGATGTGATTTTTATATAGATTGAAGATCTCGAAGTCGTCTTTCCAACAAAAAAGGAAGCTCATTATTCCAGCGCTCCTACTCCATGTTATGAATTTTCTTCCTCATGTGCGCAAAGCTGAAGAAGCTGAAAATTCAAGCACCTGGATTTCGAGCTGACTTTGGAGACAAATCTGTATTAATCCGTAAATCCTATGGACGTGATTTTTATATAGATTGAAGATCTCGAAGTTATATTTTCAACAAAAAAGAAGCTCATTATTCTGGTGCTCCTACTCCACATTATGAATTTTCTTTCTCATGTGCGCAAAGCTGTAGAAAGCTGAAAAGTTAACGTTTTGTTACTATCCTCATATAAACGCTAGCTTATGGAGTCTTTTTTTTAATAAGAAAAGGGGGCTCGTGGAAAGAAAAAATCAAAATTCAAGAGGAGAAAATTCTTATTGAAATATAAGTCACTATTTTATTCATTCAAAAAAAGAACCACTACACCATAATGAGCGACTTAGAAAATCCTAAGCAAATAAAAAAAAAATCAAACTACGGAAAAAGTTTGAAGTTTATGATTTCTTGGCGACTTTTCTCAACTTCCCCTTCTAGCTTGGCTAGTCTCTCAAATTCATCGTTAGACATCACATTATTTTCCACAATGGTATAAATCTCGCCCTCCGTAATGGTGGCATTTTCTTGACTTTTGGACAACTTCTCTTGATATTTGTTAATGAGCGCGGTGACCTTCTTTTTCTTGGAAGTCAAGGCTTTTAAGTCTTTCTCCACATCTACTAGAGTTGCTTGAAGTTTATCCATGGATCCATCCAACTTTTCATGTGCCAGCTTTGCACCATCGAGACGGCGTTGTGCATCAGAGAGGGTCTTTTCGTGTGATTCTTTAGTCATCTTTGATGATCTTAAAGTATCATACTCTGCGTACGACTTGAAGAAATTCTCGACATGATCCTCTAAAGAAGAAACATCAATAATGTTTACCTTCCTAATCTCCTCAAGAGTTGAAGCAATACTTGACTCCAATTTTGTAAAGCCATCTGAAGAACCTAAGGAAAATTGTGTAATCCATCCACACAATGCGCCCCACATCTCAGAAACAAAGGTTGATTTGGCGCGGTAAATGGTTTCTTGTGGCTCTAAAGTAGGAGCACCAGGTCGCAATGGCCTACTTGGTGACTTTCTTGGCGGAACTACTTCCAATGAAGGCATCACGTCATTAGAAGGTGACTTTCTTGGCGGAACTACTTCCAATGAAGGCTGATCATCATTAATGGAAGAATGAAAGTCTTTTGCAGCCACATCAAGATCATTAAGGTTTTCTCGGAAACTACATGGGGTGTAAAAAAAAAATGCCCCGAAGGAGAATAGACTCGCTTAATGAGAATTTAAATTCCTTGCATTTTATTCAATTGATTGAGCAAAGTTGGAAAAAAAAAAACCGGCAGGGCATTCAACCCCAAAGAAAGCAACGCTTAAAATTTGCGTCGAAATCACAAGCTCTGTATCACCAAGTCAATCTTGTAGACGCAATCCTTGCTCATCGAATTGGCGATCGTTTTGTAGTTGATGACCCAAATAAAATTACCAAACTATGAAGAAATGTCATGCGATAAGTCTTCATGACCTCGAAAATTAGTTGATAAACAACCGAAAGTCAAATGATCTCTTACAAATTAGAGAATGTTGTCGTGAAAACTCCAGTAAATGTTGACATCAACATATCGGCATAGTCATTTCTCATGAAGCTTCAAATGTTTCTTGAAAGATCAACTACAAAAAAAAAAACATTTGCTTCACAAATACTTCAAGGCCTGTCTTTACAAGTTCGATAAATCGAGCACTCCAACAAGCCTCGAAGCAGGAGGCATTTGTAGACAGTGAAGTTTTATTGATAAATCCATACTAAATTTGGATTAAATCTTAAATTCATGATACGTTGACCAAGTCAAATTACTGGTTAATAGAGTCGGATTAATATTTAAGTCAAAATGATATGACTTAAATCAAGTCCAAATAACATTTGAGCCAGTCCATTAAATTGACAAGATGAGCCCAACTCATGTTCTTCAGGCCCAAGGGGCAAAATTGCTTGGACCAAAATACCCCTAAAGCCCTAGCTCAAACCTATATAAAGAGGTCTTCATAAGACCAGAAGGGATACACACATACATACACACAGAAATACATACTTGCTCTTTATTGGTGATCTGAAAGTCTTCCGCATACAAAGAAGTCTTCGCTCCAAGTGTTGAGCCGCAAGTATTCCGCCAAATTAAGAACATCTGTGAAGAGAAGAATCAGGGGATTACATATCTCTTTAAGAGATTTTATAAAGATTGTAACCTTCACATTAATTCAAATACAAATATTATTGTTTGCTTGCTATTTTTTTCTTTCTTGTTTACTGTATTTCAGGATTGAAACTTTAGACGCTTACAAGGAGGAACAACATATTGAAGCAAAATAATTTTGACCAATAATTAATCCAAACTAACCAATAAGTTTTGGAGCATGTAATTTTTTTTCTCTCTTCTTTATTCCTTGTCTACAAAAGTTAACTATAACATTATATATTTACAAAATATATTCCACTTTTATTTTTTCAAATAAAATCAGCGAAACTCCACCTCAAATTATCTAAGCGACATAAGATATTCCAACAATGTTTGCATATAATATTATCTTTATTCTACTACTTATTAGATTTCTACATTAGTTTATTGGAAAAGTGGAAAACAAAATTAATTAAAAAATTTACACGTAAACAAACATGGGTTTTATTATTGTTTTTCATTTCACTGTGTATAAAGTATTTCGACAGCAAAAATCCTAACAATTTGTGACTTAAATATGTTATAACAATTACTATATGATGTTATTAAATATGTGATGATATTTATATGACGACAAAAATTTGTGATCAAGGATATAGATATAACTTTTTAAGTTAAATCACTTCTAATCTACAAAAGATAAACTTTTTTAAAAAAATAAACCAAAAAAAATTTATAATTAAATAAACTAAAACGGATGACAGACATTTTAACAATTTTTTGGGTTTGGCCCTTGCCGATCACCGATGGCATCTAATTTATATATATATATAGGTGAATTTCTCTTTCATGGCGGCTCTTCACAAATTGTGAACAGATTCAAAGCATGGCTTAATTTGTCAATATACAAGTGTGATAATCTAATTAATATTTTATTTTTTTCACTTGATGTTCAATATTTTTATTATAATTTTTTTTAAAAATACTTATCATGAAAAATATAAATAAAATATTTTCTAACAAAAATAACTTTATATTTAAAGAGATTTAAATTCAAAATTTCTAATTAAATTACCATTATTGTATTAAGTGTAATAATCTAATTATTAAGATCGACCCGAGTGCATATAATATAAATTGGAAATAATGTCTGGAATATATCTTGCAGGTAGTGTTAGCCGCCATGAGTCATACTCCATTTTATGTGATGAGTACTACTACTTTATTTTTAGTCCATTCAGAAAAAAAAAAATTAATAATAATTTAATTCATTTTTAATGAGATAATATAGTCATATGAAAATTATTATGACTTGTTTTTATTAGTTTATAAATTCTAAAAATTATTTTTTGCATATGTTTATTATGTAAATTGTAATTGATTAACTCTTTAAAAATATCATCATACTTTAAAAAGCCATATATTTTTTAATAGGAAAAATATAATGGCATAAATTGAGATAGAAAAAGGATAGTATTTCTTATTATATTCTTCCACTAAGACTAATCTTACGTGGCTTAACCGTATAATTTTGACCCAACAGGCTACAACACTCCACTACAAGCATTGATCCAATGTATAAATATAAAGAATTGAGAATACCATCTCAAAAGCACAGAAATAGCCATGGGAGTAGCACAAGTTGACCAAATGTGGGTCCATCTCATGATCATCCTCTTCTCCTTCTCCATCTCCATTTCTTCTATTTCTGGAGCTGTAAGTCACCCTTCTCTATTTCTAAATGACATAATAATATCTCCTATATGGTATTTTACATGTATTATTTCACGTAAGACTTGTGTATATTATGTTTATATGTGCATTATATATGTTAGTATGTATTTAATACGTACGAGAAAAAAAAATACCTACAAAGAACACAACTTATTCCAAAGTTCCAATTATATATCGTGCAATACTGATTTGATACAAAAATTAAATGCAGGAACAAAATTGTGTGTACTCAGCTTACGTTCGTACCGGGCAATTCGCAGGGGCTGGAACTGACTCAAAAATTACGTTGAGTCTTTATGATGCGAGTGGGTCTGGAATCAGAATCAAGAATCTACAGGCATGGGGTGTGCTAATGGGCCAAGGTTATGACTACTTTGAAAGAGATAGCTTGGATATGTTTAGTGGTCGTGGTCCGTGTTTGAATGGACCGATCTGCAAAATGAACTTGACTTCTGATGGAACAGGCTCAAGTCATGGATGGTATTGTAGCTACGTCGGAGTAACCTCCACAGCAGAACACAAAAGATGCAGCCAACAGCAGTTCAAAGTGGAGCAGTGGCTTAGTGCTGATGCTTTTCCAGATGGGCTGACGGTCACCAGGAACAACTGTAGGCGTATTATGTCCGATGAGCAACAGCCAATTTACGAATCTGAATCTAGTACTGTTGTTGATGTAATTTAATTTTGAATTTATTGGGGTTTAATTAAAATTAACTACTCTCTGATCTTTGAATTTAGTTCGAATGACGTTGTATAATCTGTCATGCAACGTCCGATGAAAATAAAGAATTCGTCCACTGATTTTCTTTGTTGAGAATATAATTAAATAACTTAAGTTTTTAGATGAAATGATCACGCACTTCAACATAATATCAAAGCAGACGGAGAAAAAAATCAGGCCCACACCTGAAGGGCGTGTTCGAAAATTCGATACACTTGTTAACTTTTAACTCTTTTTTTGTACATAAGTATGTTCTAGAAATCTGTACGTTGATTCATCTTTCTTCAAATATTTATAATCGTGAGCTTATTTACTTCAAACTTATACTTACAATCTTTATGATATAGCTTAAAATGGGAAAGACTTTATGTCCTCCTCTATGATAAGTTGGACCGTCAGTAGATAGTTTATTTCCACTTTTATTTTATTGTAATCCATTTCTGTTGTTAATTTTAACCCCTTCTTGATGCTCCATAGTTCTATAGTGAGGTTTGTTGTAAGCGATATCTCACCGGTGCTTCTTAGCTAGCATCCACTTTCCTTGTTCATCCCTAAAATTCCCTCCATAAGCAGGCAATATGAATCTTCACAGCCATTAATATTCAATTTAATGAAAAAAGTATTTAAGTTGGTAGATGACTTTCTAAATAGAATATCAATAGTTGAGTGATTTTGAAGATAAAAATATTTATAATTGAGTGACTTTGAGGTTATTAAAACAAAGTTGAGTGATTTTCTGTGAAAAGAACTATTAGTAATTGGGTGACTCTCTGTGAGAAAAAATTCATAGTTGAGCGACTTTGAAATTATAAATGAAAGTTGAGTAATAACTTTTTGTGAAAGGAAGTATTATTAACTCACAAATTATTATTTGAGAGTATCGAAAAAAGAAGAAAAAGAACGAATATGTACAAGTACTCGTGAATATAATAAATATTAAATAAAATAATAGTTACAATTTGACGTAATACACATATATACACTTTAACATGATTTCAATTAGCAAACAAATACATCAAATTACGAATCTGAATCTAGTACTGTTGCTGATGTAATTTAATTTTGAATTTATTGGGGTTTAATTAAAATTAACTACTCTCTGATCTTTGAATTTAGTTCGAACGACGTTGCATAATCTGTGATGCAACGTCCGATGAAAATAAAGAATTCGTCCTCTGGTTTTCTTTGTTGAAAATATAATTAAATACGGTATTAAATAGTCTAGGGAGGTAATAGGTCCTCATGAAAGTTTAGTATCGCAACAGCAAATCCGACCAAAGTTGAGGTATTTTTTAGAGCCTTATCCCTATTAGTATTTGAGTGACTTTTTGTAAGAAAAAATCATAGCTGAGTAACTTTGATAATATAAATGAAAGTTGAGTAACTTTCTATGAAAAAAAGTATTAAATGAGTGACGAGATATTAACTCACAAATTATCATTCGAGAGTATCCAAAAAAGAAGAAAAAGAACAAATTGTACAAGTACTCATGAATACAATAAATAATTAAATTAAATTATAGTTACAATTTGACGTGATACACAGATATACATTTTAACATGATTTCAGTTAGCAAACAAATACATCAATTTTTGAGAATACGTATCTTGATACCTAAACTTGATTTAAGTTGGCCCATAAATATGGTATTTTGCATAAGTTATATGACATTTTATGTTTAATTTTTAGAAAATCTAATAGTTGAAGTCCTTTGACATACTAAAATAATAATTGTGATTGTGTTTAACGAACCTGTCGGACATTATAGATAAGCTTATATATATATGGAAAAAGATATCAGGAAAAAAAATATTTGACTTTGTAAGTTGAAAATTTTAGGCTAGATTAGGTTAGACTTGGAAGAAATCTGAGTAAGGTGAGGTCTAGGACAATCTAAAAAAAGAATTGGGTGAAACGTCTAAGTAGATTTTATTTTCCTTGTTGCTAAGATGTTAAGGACTCTGTAGGAGTACTTTTCAGAAGTAAATTCGGATGAATAGAACTCCTGATATCGAACTTGGTGTGAAGGGGTTAGTTTGGAACACCAATGTTTGAAGGTGTGTTGCGAAATAGGCTAATTTGGGACGATTTATGAGGTCATATCCCATGCAAGCCGCTATATCAGGTGACATCCCACTACAGTGGTGGAATTAATTCTCGTTATAATGTCGTTGATATAGAAGGATTGGGCCGCTATGACGAGGTAAGTCACTAAAAATACAGAAAAATCCTCAAATCGTTCATTATCATCTAAATCGTTTTGGGGAAGTACAGAGGCGGTGTAGGACGATTTTTGTTGTTTTCTATCAAAATCATCCATAAAGGTAATTTTGTTCTTAGGCCTTAGAATCTGTAGTGGTGATTTTAGGGGAGGGTTTGGTTTGACTTAATGGTGAAAACCCTTAGTTTGAGTGGGATAATCATGAGATTGGCCTAGGTTTTGAGATTAGGATATAATTCGAGGGTATTTAGGCAATTTGGGTTTAATTATCTGTTATATTAATTGTTTATAAATCAAGAACAAGCTAGGCATCATAACAAAGGGAAGGCTCAAGTTCAATAAAGCATTTTGAGCTTAATTCTAGTTAGGTATGGTTGAATTGATCTTGTTTACGTTATATGTGTTTGTTAATTGTTTCACTAGTAATACTTGTACAGTATGTTACAGAGATGAAGGGGATGAATTTGAAATGATATTTTGTTATCTATCTCATGCAATGAACTCGTCATGTTTGTTTGTGTGTTACAAGTGTGAATGTTTCATTATGGTTGTGATTGTGTGGTGTGTGATTGTCAGTTGGCTTGAGTATCACGTTTGGTATACGTATTATCAATTAGCTCGGATACCATGTCTGGTACAAGATATCTCTTGGTTGACTTGGGTATCACGTGTGGTACATATTATCGATTGGCTTGGACACCACACCTGGTATGGAATATCTATCAATTGTCTTGAATATCATGCTTGCTACAGGTTCTATATTGAATGACTTGGTATCACGCTTGGATATACGTGTAATTATTTGTGTGTTGGTTTCATGAGTAAATCGGGTTGCTTTTATTGCAATGTTGTTGAGCATTTATGTTGTGATTGTTAAGTTAGGATAAGGACTGGAGTCTTGTTTGTGTTTATGAATCGGTACTACATTGGCACGTATGTTATATCACATACATGTTTATTTATGTGTATTATTTGCATCAATATATGTTTATAAGATTACCACGTTAACGTTATAAATATTATTAAAATCATTATAGAACGAAATTAGTTTATATACTGTCACGATCCAGATTGTCGTGATTGGCACCCACACTAATTCTCCAGTCGGAGAACCACTACTACAACCAATTTAACCCAAGCAACTAAATCAAAATTAAGGAAATAAATAGAGTTTCCATAAACTCTAACAAAAGTCTAACAATGCGGAAGAAAAAAAACCTAGAACGTCAATGTATCAAAACATCTAACAATGAACCAAATCTAAACAAGAAGAGATACAACCCCAAACTAATGAAATAATCAACTAACTAGAACATAAGTCTAAGTCCGAAAATGGAGGACATAGACGAAAGAGAATTTCATGGCAGCCCGGAAGAATTGGCTCACTCTTGAATTCGAACGACGATCACTGATCTCCTAGGCGAGGTCTGTCAGTAGCCGCTTGAAGATGCACTGTACTCAACAAAAATAAGAGCAAGTACAGTATCAGTACACAACCACAGTGTACTGATAGGATCACACGGTCATCCCACTAAGTTCAACATAAGCAAGTCAAGACAACATTATAAGCACATGCATATATATCAACACTTACAAACAACGAACAACTTCACATTTTATATCAAATCATTGGTCATCTCATGGAACCCAAACCCATACCGAAATATGGTACCCGATCCCAATGTTATGCCAAAACGTGGCAACCGATCTCATATTTATGCTAGAACGTGGCAACCGATCCAAGTTAGTTTTGTCAGAACGTGGCAACCGATCTCATTCACACACCACAATCACAATCACAAGTATATCTTCAAGATCATACATTTAAGTCATGATTCGTGGCATTCATCATTCCTCTAACTCATTTACAACAAGTGTGATCAATAATGCAACATTCATATACATACAAGTATCATAATGAAGCAAGAACAAGCATACATAACACAATCATAGAATCACAACCATTACCTACCTCGAATCCAAGCTTGAATCCCCCAAGGCACTTGAATCTTTCCTTTCCGGATTCTTTCCGCCTGTTCTAGGTCTACAAACAACAATTTAATACGGGAATCAATAAACAATCACTAATTATCCGAATTACTAACAATTCTATGAACCCTAGATCAAACTCATGATCCCAATTATCCAAATTAGAGTTGTTTCCACCATAGAATCTATGACAAAACCCTCCCCCATCAATATTCACTCATTCTATTACGTTCTACGAATTTGGGGAGTGAAATGCTTACATTTAGCCTCAAGAATGGTGAAAAATGAGTAGGAGTCGCCTGGGGTTTGTTCCTTAGCTCTAAAAATCGAAAAGTGTCAAATAAGGTCGTTTAAGGGTTTATTTACGACTTTAAGTCGCGTCGAACCCGCCACAACAGTCCCCGCCCTGGCAGTAGAATCTCGCCCCGCCTTGGCGGCAGAAATCCCGCCCCAGCGGCTTGCACGGAACCAGTGAGCTATTTTAATAATTCCAAGACCCTCATTTCACAACACCGCTTTAATCAACGACGCTCAAAAAATACCGTTCACGCTAAGATCGATTCCAGGAGTTCTACTCCGAATTCAATTCCGTAAAGTCGAATGGATTCCTTAATGACTTATCTAACTACTCATGTAATCAAAATCTTAAATAAGTCACCGATTGTTACCAGATTTCCCTACACCTCAAAGACTCCAATTTCGTCCAAATCTAGACTAGGATAGAAAATCTCAAGTTACTACGAAAAAGTTTTCTTGCCCCAATTCTTTTCCCATTGGCTTGTCTATAACGACGGGAACAAGTCATTACATATACTTAATCAATAGTTTGCTTTCTTTTTAAGATGAAATTTATATAATTTTAAAGAAGTATAAAAAAAACGGAAGATAGAAATTGATAA